AATGAGTGTTCTGTTGTTTTAGGATGGAATGTTCTGTATGTATCTGTGAAGTCCATCTGGTCCAGTGTGTCATTGAAAGCCCTTCTTTCCTTGTTGATCTTTTGCTTCGATGATCTTCAATATGTTTCTTTGATTTTGTTATTAATTGGTTTATATAATTGGCTGCTCCCATGTTAAAGACATAAGTATTTGCAATTACTAGATCTTGTTGGATAGACCCTTTAAGTATGACACAGTGTCCTTCCTCATCTCTTATTACAGTCTTTGGTTTAAAATCTAATTTGTCTGATACAAGGATTGCCACCCAAGCTTTCTTTTGATGTCCATTAGCATGATAAATGGTTTTCCACCCTCCAACTTTCAATCTGGGTGTGTCTTTGGGTCTAAAATGAGTCTCTTGCAGACAGCATATCAATGGGTCTTGCTTTTTTATCCAGTCTGATAGCCTGTATCTTTTGATTGGGGCATTTAGCCCATTTACATTCAGGGTAACTATGGAAAGATATGAATTTAGTGCCATTGTATTGCCTGTAAGGTGACTGTTACTGTATATTGTGTCTTCCTTTCTGGTCTGTGTTACTTTTGGGCTCTCTTTTGCTTAGAGGACCCCTTTCAGTATTTCTTATGGGGCTGGTTTGGTGATCCATCTTTTAGTTTCTGTTTGTCTTGGAAGCACTTTCTCTCCTTCTATTTTCAGTGACAGCCTAGCTGGATAAAGTATTCTTGGCTGCATATTTTGCTCGTTTAGTACCCTGAATATATCATGCCAGTCCTTTCTGGCCTGCCAGGTCTCTGTGGATAGGTGCGCTGCCAATCTAATGTTTCTACCATTGTAGGTTACAGACCTTGTCCCGAGCTGCTTTCAGGATTTTCTCTTTGTCTCTGAGATTTGTAAGTTTTATATTAGATGTCGGGGTGTTGACCTATTTTTATTAATTTTGAGGGGGGTTCTCTGTGCCGCATGGATTTTGATGCCTGTTTCCTTCCCCAATTTGGGGACGTTTTCTGCTGTAACTTGCTCCAGTATACCTTCTGCCCCCCTCTCTCTTCTTCTGGGATCCCAATTATTCTAATACTGTTTTGCTTCATGGTATCATTTATCTCTTGAATTCTCCCCTCATGATCCAGTAGTTGTTTATCTCTCTTTTTCTGAGCTTCTTGATTCTCCATCATTTGGTTTTCTATATATCTAATTCTCTCTTCTGCCTCATTTATCCTGGCAGTTACAGCCTCCGTTTTTTATTGCATCTCATTAATAGCCTGTTTGATTTTGACTTGGTTAGATTTTAGTTCTTTTATTTCTCCAGAAAGGGATTCTCTAGTGTTGTCTATGCTTTTTTCAAGCCCAGCTACTATCTATGTAATTGTTATTCTGAACTCTAGTTCCTACATCTTACTAATGATTCGTTACTTAACTAATGATTACTACATCTTCCATATTGATTAGGTCCCTGGCAGTTGGTATTGAATCTCGTTCTGTTTTTTGAAGTGAGTTTTTCCGTCTTGTCATTTTGTCGAGAGAAGAATAGATGAACGAGAGACCAAAATGCTCAAAGGGTAACAACGACCCCAGAGAAATGAAATATACACTAAAGAATCCAGATGAGACCCGCAGCCAGGGGGAAAAGAAAAAAGAGGAAAAAAAAAATATGATCAGGCTGGTGAATAGAACAGAGCCATACACTAGATTTTGGGTCTATTTTGGTCTCTTAGAAGAAACTGCATCCCAAAATTTTAAAGAACGAAAAGCTTATATATGTGTGTGTGTATAAGGTTAAATACAATGAAAGGATAGAATATGACTATAAAAATGAAAATTAAAAAAGATTTTAAAAAAGGAACTGATAAGTTGGTTGAAAAAGGAAAGAAGAAAAATTCTTTAAAAAAAAAAAAAATTTAAAAAATTACCTCCACCCTGGTGGAGCCGAGAACTCAGGGCTCCGCTCCTCAGTGCACCCCCAGAGAAAAGCAGTCAGTCACTCCCTCCTCTCCGGTCTCTGGCCACACTCCGTGCTCACCCCACCTGTGACCCAGCGTTTCTATCTCTGGCCCCCGACCCCGTGTGGAGTCTCCAAACCCAGCAGATCCCTGCGGTGTGCTCCCGCGCCGCTCCTCCCGGGGGAGGAAGGGGAGTCTCCCCGGATCTGCTGCTTGTTGGGTCCCTGCTGGAGGAGCAGTGGCTCGACTGTCACCGATCACAGTTTATGGCAACCCCAAGCTGAGAGCCCACTCCTTGGCTCCGTCTCTGCAGCCAGCTTCCCCGCTCCAATACTTGGGAGCTCTGCCGCACTCAGGCACCCCCGGTCTTTCTGTGACCCCGAGGGTCCTGAGACCACACTGTCCTGCGAGGGTTCCGCACCCCACTTAGCCACTGGAGCGACGTCCCTCAGCGGAGCCGACTTCTAAAAGTTCTGATTTTGTGCTCTGCTGCTCTATCACTTGCCAGAAGCGGCCGATGGAGGCCCCCTCCCCCACCGTCTATCCTCCCAAATATTGCCTCAGATTCACTTCTTCGCACGTCCTACCTTCCAGAAAGTGGTCACTTTTCTGTTCAGAGTTGCTTCTATTCTTTTCTTCAATATCCTGTTGAGTTTGCAGGTGTTCAGAATGGTTTGATCCCTATCTAGCTGAATTCCTGGGATTCTATCGAAGGACTAAGTTTTTAAATTATATGGAGATTTCATAGAGAATCTTGAGGGAGGCACCTGCAGTGATCAGATGCAAAGCAGAGAAAAATGTTGCTAAAACCTAACTGATGGTACTTGCTTTTAGAAGCTACCCAGTCCATGAAAAACTCTTAAGTGACAGGAAGACAGTGTCAATGATCTTTCATGCTTTCTTGCCCTTGTGGTCAACTTCATTTAGATATGGGAGCAGAGGGCTAGAAAACTCAGACCATAAGAGGGTGGCGGGGGCTTACTCCCAGACCACAGTGGTGGCAGAATAGTCCCCAGCCCACCATGCCTCCCTCAGTTGTAGAGCAATACCACTGGAGGAAGATGTGGAAAGTACTGGCTGTGTGTTTTTTAAATAAATGAGGGCAGTGCCTTTAAAATACTCAGATGACAATGTTTAGTAGACAGTTATAAAAGAGGGTCTATAGCTTAGAAAACAGTAGGGAAGGTAGAGATTTAGAAGCTTTAGGTTTCTGAAACTTAAAACTCTGAGAGAAGGTATGGGTTTTAATCTAGAGCCTACCATGTTACTCTCCTGGGCTGGTCACTTTTCTGGGATTAGCAGCCCTTACTTGTAAAGTAAGACTAGACAATTGATCCCACAGCCCTCTTCCAACTCTGAAAATTCATTTTAGAAAAGAAAAAACATTCTCTCCAAATGTGCTGCTCTGGTCTTTGTGGGGAAAAAAGATCTTTTAGTAATGGTTTAGGGTATATGGTATCATGAAAGTGTTGGATTTGTATAGAAATATCCTTTTCATTCTCCAGATCAGTGATTTATTGTGTAGAGAATTAAAAGTGGACCAGTGGAAGTGTCCCTTGATAAGCCATTATTTGGTGTTAGTAATTAGTCATTCCCCTGCCCCGCACCTCAGTTTCTTTAATAAGCCTGATTTCTTTTTTTTTTAAGATTTTATTTCTTTATTAGGGAGAGAGAGAGAGATAGAGCAGGAACACAAGCAGGGGGAGTGGGAGAGGGAGAAGCAGGCTTCCCGTGGAGCAGGGAGCCCGATGTGGGGCTCGATCCTAGGACCCTGGGATCATAACCTGAGCCGAAGGCAGACGCTTAACGACTGAGCCACCCAGGTGCTGCATGAGACTGATTTCTGATGACCTTCACCTTAGGTCAAGATGGAAGTCATGTGACTCACTCAGTGGAAACAGGAGTGTGGGTTAGGTGTTGGGTTTTTTTCTGTTCCTTTCCAATTATGAATTTGATAATGCCAGAAAATTTCAAATTGGTAGTCTTAAAGTGCCCAGAGGCTCAGGTGAAAGCTGGGGAGTTTGTGAGGGAGTGCAGGAGTACAGCAGGTCTCCTTTTGGGCTATATCGCCCCCTAGTGGAAGCTCCTTTTGTCCATATGGTACAGAATTGAACATTTTCTTGCTTTGGAAAGAGTTTGAAATCCATCTTCACTCCCACCCCCTTTCTTGGAAAAGGTGCATTGGGCCTATATGTATTTTCATGATGTATCAGTTTCCTGAGGCTGCTGTAACAAATGACCACAAACTTAGGGACTTAAAGCAACAGAAATGTATTCTGTCACAGTCCGAGAGTCTGAAATCAAGGTGTTGAAAGGGCGGCACCCCCTCTGGAGGCTCTAGGGTGAATCTCTTCTTTATCTCTTCCACCTTCTGGTGACTATTGATAGTCCTTCTGGTTGCATCACTCCAGTCTCTGCTTCTGTGGTCACATTGCCTCCTCTTATGTCTGTGTCTCTTGTATATCTCTTCTAAGGACATTTATCATAGTATTTATGGAACCTGCCTGGATAATAACAGATGATCTCATCTCAAGATCTTTAATCACATCTGCAAAGACCCTTTTCCCAAATGGGTTCCACATTGATGTGGATATATTTTTGGGGGGACCACCATTAAACACACTACAGGTGGTTGGCACCTTTTCTGTTTTCTCCAGATCTTTATCACTACTGCTAACTCCGTTCTGTGTAAACCAGCATTCCCTTTCATTCCAGGTGGTAGCCTATATAGCGATTACATCAAGCTCCACCACGGGTGCTGCTCAGTCCCATAGCTGCTTCCTAATTTGTGTTGTGTGGGTTGTATTATTTTCAAATAGCCGTTTCATTTTTTTAATGAGGAAAATTAATTGCAGCAAACATTTTGAACAGTGTTAAAGTTTGTAAAAAAAAAAATAAAAAAGGAAACAGGATAGCTTCAGCACTAAACTGCACATAACTAGAAGTGCAAGTCATTAACAGAAACATTTCATTTTGCAAAAATATAGAAAATAAAATTGTAATAAAATTTGATATAACTGTTTGAAGGCTATCTTTAATTGTTGCTCTTCTTTTCTCTGCAGGCCTTTTAGATAACCCTGAGCTTCGTGTGGTCCTGGTATTTGGCTATAATTGCTGTAAAGCAGGAGCCAGTAATTATCTGCAGCGAGTCATCAGCCATTTCAGTGATATGAACGTCATCTTGGCTGGAGGCCAGGTAGACAACCTGGCATCACTGACCTCTGACAAGTATGTCTCATGTGCTTCTGATTTCGCCTATACATGACCAGAAATGTTGTCAGGTTTTTCTTACCTTGGGTTTTTTAAAATACCCATTTACAGAATTGCTAAGCTAATGGTTCATTCCATTTTATAATACTCCACATAATTCTGCTTACAGTTAAATGAATCTTTATGTTGTCTTCTAATAACTTACTCTTAATTGGATTCATACTCAAAATTGGTTTTCAACATTGTCTATTGGTATCTCCCCTGACAGCTCTGTACTCTATACAACTGCAGTGATCACTTCTCTGTAGTTCTATTTTCTCTTCTAAAGGAAACACATGCTTAAACAGTGAATCTTCATGGTAAAACTTCTTAGAGGCTCTGATATGCCCAGTGCTATAGAAATCCTCTAGAGAGGGAATGACAGTTCTCAAACCTGTGGAGCATCTTGCATGCCTGTTGGTATATTGGCACACATTTTGGGAAATGTTTACTAGATCTTTTTGAAAGCTTCTTTTTGATTTTGTTACTAAGGCTTTTGCTTTCGAAGATGAATAATACTTGCTTCAGTTATCTTGGGAGCCATTACTCCCTTTCCATTTTGAAAGAGTTTGTAGTATTTTTTGAGTCTGAGCTAATTAAGCGGACATGAATATCCAAAAGTAGGAAAATGAAAACCTCTCATCCCCAGATACTTCCTGCAAACACTAGTATTCATTTCTCACTCTATTTGTGTTTAGTGCTTGGATACTAGAGTGGTGAAATGGCAACAGATGTTAGAGATCATTGTCTTTAAAAGCAGTGTAAATCATCCCAGTTAAAATTTCCCTTCTGGAAGTCTCCACTGATTGATCAGCTTCAGCTGATCAGGGATCATGGAAAGCAAATACAAATGACCCTTGAACAATGCCTGCGCAGTTGAAAATCCATGTATAACTTGTGACTCCCCAGCAACTTAACTACTAATAGCCTACTGTTGACCAGAAGCCATACTGATAACATGAACAATTAACACATATATGTATTCTTACAAGAAGGAAAGCTAAGAAAAGATGTTATTATGAAAATCATAAGGAAAATACATTTACAGTACTGTACTTACCAAGAAAAATCCACATGTAATTGACGCATGTTGTTCAAGGGTTACCTGTAGCTAAATCGAGGTCCCTGGACTACCAGTGAGGAAGAAGCGAGGAAAGCAAGTGCACTGAATTCTAAGCAGTAGGATATCAGACATTGGATTTCAGACATAAATACACATAATTCTCAGTGATTACCTGGGGATTATTTCTCCTCTTGCCTGATTTTCTGTGTCTTTGCTTTTACCTCTAAATTGTATACAATACGGCAGTGATGACTTAATACCTCATTTACCTTTGAAATGCCAATCGCACTCAGGCCAGACATACAGCGTCTGACATGCAAGCCTGTTAGTGTGATCAGGTGTCTGTACATCATCTTTTTATACCTATTGTGGGAAATATCCCTCAAGAATTGTTAGCCTTTACACGACACATTAATTTTAATTAAAATTAAATTAAATTCCCACTGTGTCAGTGGGTAAGAGAAGCCATTGAGTAAATCAAAGCTCCATTTTAATAGTGTCCACATACCACCTTGCCAAAAAAAAAGATAGGTAAGTCATTCTTTGAGGCAAGAAATTGACAATACATGTTGCAATGGTAGGCCAAAGAGTAATTGTAATAAAGTTAAAGGAGCAGTGGACTTCAGAAGGTCCATTCTCCTCAGAAACAGGTTTTGCTACTAAGCTAGCCTTATTATCTTAGTCACTTAAGCTTTTTGAGTTAAGTTTCTTGTTAGCCCAGTGAATCTTGCCCATTTCATCAACTCACATGTTGGTAAACATGATAGAAATAATAAGGTATTTGTTTTTCTCCTGTAGGTGTTCACTGTATTATGCTTTATAACTTTGACACTTTGTTTTCTTCAGTAAGGATAAAATATTTCCTTAAGAAAAACAGGCAAATATAAACAAAACATTTTTTTACCTTTAGGTTAAGCTGAATTCTAGGCTGAAAGTAATAAATAAGACACAGCAATGGAATCTTGTTTATGGACCAAACAACATTTAAAGCTAAAACTTCTGGAGTTAACAGGTTCTTAATAAAATTATCGTCCATGATTAAATATCTAATATATCTTTTTTAGAATGTGACAGCCGAGATAAGGGGGAGAAAGATACCAAACATGTAAATAATACCAGAAAACTTTATTTAACAGATAATCACCCTTGCGTATGAATAAAATTTTTAAGATTCCTTTAAGAAAGTGAGAAAGGTTTAAGGATACTTTATATCTTTTCTAAAAACCCAGGATGGTTGTCAGAAATCTTTGTGGAGGTGCATTTGCCCCTCGAATTTGTGACAAAAAATAGTTGCTTACTTCTTCATAGATCTGCTTCCCTGCATTCTTTTAAATGTATTCATAGTTTAATTTTTAATCCCTATTACACTGCTTTTATCTGGAAAGGTGAGCCTTAGCTTTAGACTGGGTGTAGGCTCTTAAAGGCAGCAGCTCCTAACCAGTGAATCAGGAGTTTTCTTCTACACTTGAGTTTATATTTTGTTTTATGATGTATCACCACACTATTCTGATTTAATTCCAGACACCCTCTGGATATTGATGCCACTGGTGTAGTTGGACTGTCATTTAGTGGACACCGAATCCAGAGTGCCACTGTGCTACTCAACGAAGATGTCAATGACGAGAAGACCGTTGAGGCTGCAATGCAGCGCCTTAAAGCTGCCAACATTCCAGAACGGAATACCATTGGCTTCATGTTTGCATGTGTTGGCAGGGGCTTTCAGTATTATAGAGCCAAGGGGAATGTTGAAGCTGATGCATTCAGAAAGTTTTTTCCTAGTGTTCCTTTATTTGGCTTCTTTGGAAATGGAGAAATTGGATGCGATCGCATAGTCACTGGGAACTTTATATTAAAGAAATGTAATGAGGTAAAGGATGATGATCTGTTTCACAGCTATACAACAATAATGGCACTGATTCATCTTGGGTCATCTAAATAAAGCCTCCTGTAAAGTGGCTTTCACAATATATAATTTTTGGGCTCTGTCTTTCCTAGAAAATGGAAACTGGGATGTGTGTATTTCAAAAAAATAATAACTACATGTATCAGTTTTGTAGCTCTGACTAAAGATTATATTAGGGGTAGTTTTTAATAAGTTAGATGAAGGACAACTTCGTATATAACAAAACACAAACAGAATTGAGAACTTTTCCATAATGAGGCACAACCCTGATTATGGCTGTATTGTACCAGGTTGTGTAGCTGCTGTGTAATGTGACTTTTTATAAATAGTCTTCTGCATAGGAAGATTGAAAGGATTTATCAATAGGATGGAGATTTAAGACATTCCATGACTACCTCTGCATTGTTAGATCTTTTAGCAAAATCATGAAGACATTTTTTTCTCCCTTAATGGAGGAAAAAATACATGGATAGCTTGAGAAATCTTTCTCTGCTTTACAGTTTTGCAAATTTTTTCAGAAGCTATAACAAAATTATTACTGACTTTTTACTTATTTGATAAAAATTATTTTTGTTCTAGTACCCAAAATTTTCTTAGTCAAATAAGTTGCCAAGACTAATCGGTATTTTACTACTTCATAAGGAAAAAATAATTTTCCTTTTCCCTCAATGAAGAAATTGTAAGAGAAAATCCTTTTCTTCACCTAGTTCTGTATAGCTAACCGGCAGACCAGACCATTACATCACCTTATTTTGGTTTTATACCAATAAAACATAACCTTGGAAACTTAGACAGTGTTTTGCATGTCATTGCTTTTGGTGACTGAATGATGGAAGTAATCAATACTTCAGAAATGAAAACCCAGAACAGTAGTTGTCAGCTAGTAAATCCTGCCATGTTCCCAGTAGAATGATTTTTAAGCTTGTATTTCTAACTATGCTAATATCTACATGAGATATGTTCAGAGAACACCAATTTTCCCTAGTGACCTTTCTTCACATAGTTATTGATAGAACCTTTGATTTTCAGCTAGGCACATGCCTGTAGTAACAAAGACTTCCATTTCCTAGTGTCCCTTGCCATTGACTGTTGTGGCCAGTGAAATGTGAGGGGTGTGACTTTTTTTGCCCTTTCTTGAGCTTGTTGCTTGGAAGTGGATCTGCTAGTGAGACATCTTGAACTCTCCAGAAGAGGCAACATTACTGAAGAGAATCACATAGAAAGAAGGGGCCTGGGTCGCTGTACAATTTTGTTGAAGTGCTACCATACGTGGCTTGGATTGCCTATCTCCGTACTGTCTTACAAGATCGAAATTAACATCAATCTTGTCTCAGCCACTGTTCTTCATTATAATAGATGTTTATATTAGCTTATTCTACCTAAGTATGATATATGTCTGATGTATGGCTCTTTTGTAATGGTCAGTGGTTCTAACAGAACAGCAGAAAACCTGCAAGGTAAGTGAAATCAAAGGTATTAACCTTTCTGCTTTTCTATTTTTAATCACTTTCTCAGTTTTTACATTAAAAGGTTTTCTCTTGCTGTATATGTATATGATGATAAAAATAAAACCACATATTTATTGTGTGGTTATCCTAAATCTTAGTTCCTGAAGAAAGTCCAAAGAAAAGTTTTAGAGTTTTTTATCTGTGAATATTAATATCTAGCCTTTAGTTGTTAAACTTTTCTGTTATTTGACATTGGTTACTCATTATGAAATGGGTACGCAGTACTCAAAATTCAAGTCTCTGATATGCCTACATAGCACATAAGGAAAATACTTTGTAAATTTTCCTTGTCTCTGATATTAACAAGTGTTGTTTGAATACTAGAGGAAAAAGGATCTGAAAAACTAAAAATATGAACAAAATGAGCATGATTGAACGGATTATTTTATTTTTCAAAGTAATACTTATACAAACTGTTTTACTACTTCCCAAAGGAGAGTCTGCTGTAGAATCGTTTCAATACGATATTTGAGATTATAGGGTCCCTTTGTGTATCTGAGCTTTGGGGGCTTGTTATGTAAATGCATTTGACTACAAGGTTGTGATCTTGGTGCAGAATAGAAAGGGGAGAAACTGACTCAATAGAAACAACTAGTATTGATGAAAACAAAGCCATCTACCCTGCCTCTAGAAGTCTTGATGTTCCATAGAAAGGAACAGGAATTTAAAGTTAAGATGAAATAATTACAATTTTGAAGACCTGTGTTAAACAAAAGCAAGCATTCAAGGATAATTTTTTCAGCTAAAAACATACTAAATTCCTAGAAATGGCAACTTTTATATACTCAGGAAACTGGAGAACAGATCCTATGTGAAAAAATAAATGAGCACAAGAGAAGGAAATAGGATATTCTTAAAGTGTCTTCATACACTGAACCGCCTTCTCTCAAGTGATCAGACAGGATGGTTTATTTAAGCAAGACATTTAAAATACTTCCTTTTTATGCTTTCACAGCACAATCCTGCTGTAATTTGCTCTGTAAAAGTCTTCAAGAAATTACATTTCCATTCCCTTTATGCAAGTGGAACTAAACTCCTCACAAGCCATCTAAGTAAAAGGAGAGAAGGCAGACCTTGGGATTAAAACCTAGAAATAGACACTACATAATGATGTAATAATCTACTGTGACCTATCTAAACGGCATTCAGTAGGCCACTTAACCAGTTAAAAGTTTTCTCAACTTTGCCTAAAAATGGATTAGCAGACAGCAATTTCTCAAATTTGCAAAAGAGGCCAGATAGCAAAAACTTTGCCAATAATTTATATTGCAAGTTTAACACATTGACCATGCAAAGAATGTAAAACTTTAACAAATCTAAAAATTTTCTATGCATTCTACAGAATTTTTTGAGAAAAAAATGAAACTGTCATTTTGTTTCCACACAATCTAACCCAGATTATCACCACCATAAATTCAGTTTTAATGGAAACAGAAGACTCTAAATCCTCTTGTTTGGAAATTGTGAGATTTTTAGATGACTGACTTGATTTTCACTTGTAGAAACTGGGTAGGAGGCTGCTTAATGAAAATCCTAAAATAACAAAACATAGTAAGCATTAGTAATAACATCCTTGTTAAGAGAACAAAATATCTACATAATGTGAAGAATATGTCACCAGAAAGTTATTTTAATGGTCCTATGTGATCGGGGGGGGCGGTCCTCAGGATGGCTGCAGAGTAGGGGACCTTGTTTCATCTGGTCCCTTGAATTTAGCTGGATATCTACCAAACCATTCTGAACACATGAATTCAACCTGAGATGTGAGATTTATGTGGATCTCTTCAAGCACAAAAATGACTACTTTTTGCAAGGCAGGAGGTGTGGAACCTTGAATCTTCTGGGTGAAATACCGGGAGATAAATGGAGGGAGAATGATATAACAGTGGAGCTTAAAATCGGAACCCTTAGAAATCTCCAGTGAGAGACATCCCTTTCTGAAAAGGGCACAGGGGATGAGTAGAGCAGAATTCTAGGGGGATCATTGTCTCAGGATTCCAGGAGGCTCAAAACATGGGGGAGCCTGAACTGATGGAGTGCCCAAGCAGTGGAGCGGGGAGACTGGTTATGGTCAGCAAGCCAGGAAGGGACTCAGCTCCAGTCACCATAAACCAAGAGCTGGGCTGGTAGCGGGGTGCCGCTCTTTGCACACCCTGAAAAGGACTAGAAGGTGCAGGCTCTTTAACATTGCAGAGGAGATGGGAAATGGCTTGCGCCCACAACAGGACAACAGCTCTCAGGGCAGTTGGCCCCCGAAAGACACTGGAGCGGCACCCTGCTGCGACCTGGGAGCTGCAGAAGAGGGTGCACACATGAGCTCACGGCCACTTGGAACTGGAAAGGCACAAAACGCAGAGACGCTCGCAGGTCCCTGGAATTCCCTCAGGAGAGTTGCAAGCGGGTGCAGATAGGGCAAAGCTGTGGAGTTTGGTACACACAGAAGTGGAGATGGTTTGACCTGGAGGGTTTATTGAAGAAAAGGAACCACGACCTTGTGGCTCTGGGCCAGGGATTCCCGCACGGCCATATTTGCTCTGACCCTCTGAAGAGAAGTGGAAAGCTGAAAGGAACAAAAGCCACACAGACAACCAGCTCACCATAAGCCCAACCCTGGAACAAGGGGTGCGGCAACTCCACTCAGACAAAGATGCCTGAGAAGCTGAGTAGAAGGCCCCTACCCCAGAAGACAAATTGGGAAAACTGATGAATGACAACCGTATTTCCCACAGGACTGTAAAACTCCAGTGCCAGGGGAAAATAATATATTGAGCTCCAAGTGTTTCCTCATGACTCATTTATGCTTCAGGCTAAAATTTTTTTTTCTTACCCTATTCCCGTTTCAAATAGATTATTTCCCAACTTATGTCTTTAAGTTACTTTTTAACTAAAGATTTATGTCCTGTTTTATAAATTTATGCTCCATACTAGTCCCTTTTGCACTTTATTCAATTTTATCTTGATATATATATATAAGTGCTGGTTTCTTTGCAATTTGCGGATATAGTGTCTTCCAAAACAGACCAAAAATCAATCAGGAACAGGCAGATCACCCTGCCTTGTCTACCCTGAGAAATTATAGTTCCCCCCACTTTTTTTTTTTTTTTTAACTGTTTTGGATCATCTTGGCTTTGTTTGCATATCTGGTAGCTTCTGACCACTTTGGAATTTTTCTAGGGTGCCTTTTCTTGGGTCATGATTGATATTTTGGACTCTGTTCATTTGCTCAGCCATCCCTCGACAGAATGACAGAGGAACTCTCAACAAAGAAACGAACCAGACACAATGTCCTCTGCCACAGAACTAATGGATATGGATATAAGCAAGATGTCAGAGATAGAATTCAGGCTAACAATCATAAAGTCAACACCTGGGCTTGTAAAAAGCATTAGTGACAATATAGAATTTCTAAGGGCAAAAATGAGATCAATCAGTCCAAACTTAAAAATGCTATAGATGAGAGGCAGTCTAAATTGGATGCTCTAATAGCTAGGGTAAGTGAGGCAGAAGAGAAAATAAGTGACATAGACAGACTGATAGGAAGGAAATTGAGGAAAACAGGTATAAGAAGCTAGTCCATGAAAAAAGGCTTGGACAGATTAATGATGCCATGAAACATTGCAATGTCAGAATTTTGGGATCACCAAGGGGGTGAAGAGAGGAGAGAGGACTAGAAGGTATATTTGAGCAAATGAGAGATGAGAACTTCCCTAATCTGGGGAAGAAAACTAGCATTCATGTCTAAAAGGCACGAAGACCCCTCCCAAAATCAATAAAAATAGATCAACACCCTGCCATAAAATAGTGAAGCTTGCAAAGCCAAAGAAGCTATCCCGAGAACAGCTAGGGGGAAGAGATTTCTTATATATGGAAGGAGGAACTATGGAATAACATCAGACCTATCCACAGAAACCTGGCAGGCTAGAAAGGGCTGGCAAGACATTTAGGGTACTAAATGAGAAGAATATGCAGCCAAGAATACTTTATCCAGCAAGGTTGTCATTCAGAATGGACAGAGAGATAAAGAGTTATAGGACAGGCAGAAACTGAAAGAATATGTGACCACCAAACCAGCCCTGCAAGATATATTGAGGATTCTGTTAGCGAGGAGAGACCCCAAGAGGCACATAGACCAGAATGAAAGAGAAAATCTACAGAAAGGGACTTTGCAGACAATACAATAGCACTAAATTCCTATCTTTCAATAGTTACTCTGAATATAATGGGCTGAATACTCCCATCAAAAGACACAGGGTTTCAGATTTGATAAAAAAAGCAGGACCCATCCATATGCTGTCTTGTACAAGAGGCTGATTTTGAACCTAAAGACTCCTCCAGATTGAAAGTGAGGGGAATGGAGAACCATTTACCACACCAATGGACCTCAAAAGAAAGCTGGAGTACCAATTCTCATATTAGACAAACTAGATTTTATTTTTTTTTAAGATTTTATTTATTTATTTGACAGAAAGAGACAGCAAGAGAGGGAACACAAGCAGGGGGAGTGGGAGAAAGAGAAGCAGGCTTCCTGCCAAGCAGGGAGCCCAATGCAGGGCTCGATTCCAGGACCCTGGGATCATGACCTGAGCCGAAGGCAGCCACTTAACCGACTGAGCCACTCAGCACCCCCAGACAAATTAGATTTTAAGCCAAACACTGTAGTAAGAGATGTAGAGGGACACTATATAATACTTAAAGGATCTATCCAACAAGATCTAGCAATTGTAAATATCTATGCCCCCAACATGGGAGCAGCCAATTATATAAACCAATTAATAACCAAAATAAACATATGGATAATAATACCTTAATAGGAGACTTCAACACTCCACTCACAGCAATGGACAGATCATCTAAGCAGAAGGTCAACAAGGAAACACGCTTTCAGTGACACACTGGACCAGATGGGCCTCATAGATATATACAGAACATTCCATCCTAAAACAACAGAACACTTTCTTCTTGAGTGCACATGGAACTTTCTCCAGAATAGATCACATACTGGGTAACAAATCAGGTCTCAACCAATACCAAAAGATTGAGATTATTCCCTGCATATTCTCAGACCATAATGCTTTGAAACTGGAACTCAATCACAAGAAACAATTTGGAAGAAATTCAAACACTTGGAAGAAGGGCACATGCACCCCAATGTTCATAGCAGTTTTGCCCATGATAGCCAAACTGTGGAAGGAGCTGGGATGTCCTTCAATAGATGAATGGATAAAAAAGAAGTGATTCATATAGACAATGTCATATAGACAATTAGCCATCAGAAAGGATGAATACCCACCATTTGCATCAACATGGATGGAACTGGAAGGTATTATGCTAAGTGAAACAAGTCAAGCAGAGAAAGACAATTATCATATGGTTTCACTTGTATGTGGAACATAACAGCACAGAGGACCATAGGGAAAGGGAGGGAAAACTGAATGGGAAGATCAGAGAGGGAGACAAAGTATAAGAGACTCTGGAAACTGGGAAACAAAATTAGGGTTACAGAAGGGAGGGGGGTGGGGGGATGGGGTAACCAGGTGATGATTATTAAGGAAGGCACATGTTGTGATGAGCACTGGGTGTTATACAAAACTAATGAATCACTGAACACTACATCAAAAACGATGTACTATATGTTGCCTAAATGAACATAATAACAAAAAAAGAAAGAAAAGTACAAATATATATATATATTGCACCTATGTAGAGAATAGTGAAATATTTGCAAAACATGTTATTTTCATTTTATATATTTCATGTCTGCCCTACAGAGCAACTGAGACACGTACAAGAATATATGGTGCTATAAAGTAGAAAACCTTAGCAGAAGCCAATAAACTTCATTTAATGTTTTGGTACTAAGGGTATGCAGCATTTTCATCTCAGAAAGTTTATGTAAATTGTCCTCACAACCAGCAAAAAAGGCAAGATTGATAAGGAATTGGGAGAAAATATATTCCTTTTAATTTAATTTTAAACAATGATCAGAGTGAGAATTTTTAGACCATTTTCTTAACATTTACAAAATACTTCCAAGTCTGATTAACCAGAATTCACCATATATGTATCTAAAAGATATTCTAGGGGCGCCTAGGTGGCTCAGTCGTTAAGTGTCTGCCTTCGGCTCAGGTCATGATCCCAGGGTCCTGGGATCGAGCCCTGCATCGGGCTCCTTCCTCGGCAGGAAACCTGCTTCTCCCTCTCCCGCTCCCCCTGCTTGTGTTCCCTCTCTCGCTGTGTCTCTCTGTGTCAAATAAATAAATAAAAATCTTTTTAAAAATATAAATAAATAAATAAAACATACTCTATTCATGGTCTTTTCATGATACTAGCATTACAGACAGGAGTGAAACATCAGTGACCTGAGTAACACCAGCAAAATGGTAGACTGGACACTCTTAAGCTCTTGTTCCCCAACAAAACCAAAAAAGCAGCAAATATGTGAACCTACATTGTCACAGCTCTGGAAAACAGTAAAAGGTTTACAGCAACCAAGACTGCCCACTAAAGAAAAACCCATCTTCAAAATGGTATGAATGTTTGAAGATGTTTTACTCACCTTTGCAGTCTTATTAAAAAGTGGCAGAAGCCTGGTTCCCAGTTCCTACCCTCAATCCAGAGGAGGTAGACTTTATTTGCAAATCACTGTGTATGCCTCATCTGTCTGGAGGATACCAGAAGGACTCACTCAAAGTGTTCATCTTTGTTTTGCTATTAACTTGGAATTCAGGCAGGAAAAATGGCGGCATTACTTGTAAAACCTGCAAGGTGACTACAGATGCCTGGGGTGAGAGATTAAGGGTGGAGACAGAATAGGTCACATAAGCCCTAGCAAAGAAGAAGCTGGGGTGAGAGTTTTTGAAAACTGAACATTAAGAAGCAGCTCCGCAAGAGGGAAGGATGAGGGACACCTGGGTGCCTCAGTCAGTTAAGCATCTGCCTTCGGCTCAGGTCATGATCCCAGGGTCCTTGCTCAGTGGGGAGCCTGCTTCTCCCTCTGCCTGCCACTCCCCCCCTGCTTGTGCTTCCTCTCTCTCTCATAAATAAAATCTTTATAAAAGGGGGGGAGGAGGAGATTTAGAATGCCATATGCACACCCAGGCAAAACATATGCTCAGGAAAGATCTAAGACATTTGGTTTTCACCTCAGTCTGATCCCTAGGGTCAGAGCAAGCCTAGCTAAGCATTGCAAGAATGCTCTAGCACCCGGCTACTCTACAAAGACAGAACTGGCATTCAAGGAAATTTCTGTCAGAATTACTATACTATAATAGTGAAATGCCCAATTTTCAAAAAGAAAATTGCAAGTCATACAAAGAAAAAGAGAAACTAGATCTATTTAGAGGAATAGAAACTGGCCCCAAGGAAGCACCACTTAGAGCTTACTAAACAGACACTTAAGTATTATCAAAGAACTAAAGGAAATCACGAAAATGACTAAAACGAGAACACAAAGAGAAATTATAAAAGGAACCAAAGAAATTCTGGAGCAGAAAGGTACAATAAAAACTTTCACTAGAGGGTGAATTTCAACAGCAGATTTGAACAGTCAAAGCTCATTGAACTCCAAATAGGGGAAAGTCAAAAGACACCCACCAAGACACATTAAAATCAATCTGTCTAAAGCCAAAGATAGAACCTTGAAAGAAACAAGAATGAAAAGGAATCCTCTATAAGGTTATCAGATTTCTCATCAGAAACCTTGGGGGCTGGGGCACCTGGGTGGCTCCGTGAGTTAAGCATCTGCCTTCAGCTCAAGTCATGATCCCAGAGTCTCGGATGGAGCCCTGCATTGGGCTCCCTGCTCCATGGGAAGCCTAATTTTCCCTCTCCCACTCCCCCTGTTTGTGTTCCCTCTCTTGCTGTGTCTCTCTGTCAAATGAATAAATAAAATCTTAAAAAAAAAAATAGGAGCAGAGTTTTTATACACTACTGAGGTTAAGCTGCCATAAATTCAAATTAGTGTTACTAATTTAGGATGTTAAGTGGAATCCTTAAGGTAACCACAAAGAAGTAGCTATATAATATACACAAAAGGAAATGAAAAAATGTTTTACTATAAAAAATTCAACTAAACACAAAAGACACATAGAAAATGAAGGCCAAAAATGTATAAGACACATAAATATCATAATCACATTAGTTCCCCATCAATAATTACTTTAAATGTAAATGAACTCCAATCAAAAGACAGAGATTGATGAAATGGATTTAAAAACATGATCTAACTTTATGCTGTCTACAAGAGACTGACTTCAGATCCAAAGACATAAATGGGTTAAATATCAAAGGATGGATAAAGATATTCTATTCCATGCAAATAGTAACCAAAGGGAGCAGTGGTGGCCATACTATTATCAGGCAAAAAACACCCTAAATCTAAAAAGGTTACAAGAGACCAATGAAGGACATTACATATTAATAGGTTTAAAATACATCAAAATTAAATAGTTATGAAGCTTTACACATCTAATAAGAGACCTTCAAAATATATTAAGCAAAACGCAACATAACAAAACTTATGTGATGCAACAAAAGCAATGCTAAGAGGGAAATTTATAACTAAATGCTACCTTAATATATAAATAGAATTATATAAAATAAATATTCTAAAAGTAACTAGAAAAAGAATAAACCTAAAGCCAGTGCAAGATTAAAGCTGAGATAAGCAAAATACTTTTTTGAAATGATTTTAAGGGTGGAAATACCTTTTAACTAGACCAAGGCGGGGGGGAGATTCAACATATTACACACAAAACATAAACATAGGAGTATTAGTAAAGAGTCTACAGAAATAGAGGGATTAGAGCACTATGAGCAGCTGTACCCCTAGATGAAATTGATATATTCCTAGAAATGTAAAACCTTAACAAGACTGAATCCTGAACAAATAAAATCTACATAGACCTATAACTAGGAGATTAAATCAGTAATCAAAAACCTCCCAACAAAGGAAAACTCTGCAACCGATGGCTTCACTGGTGAATTCTACCCCACCATTTAAACAAGAAATAACACCAGTCCTCAAACATTTCCAAAAAATTCAAGAGAAACTTCCTAACTCATTCTATAAAGTGAGTACTACCCTGACACCAAGGCCAGACTACAACAGAAGGGAAAAAGAAAAACCCTATACATTAATATCCCTGAAGAATATTGATGCAAAAGTCCTAAACAATATTAGCAACTGAGACATCACATTAAAAGTTCTATAAACTGAACAAGTGTATTTATTCCTGCAATTCAAGGATAGTTCAACAAGTGAAAATGAATTAATATAATACATAATATTGACAGGATGAAGGGAGGAAAACCCATATGATAACATCAACTGTCGCAGAAAAAGAATTTAACAAAATTTGGCAGGCTTTTTTTGATAAAAACACTCAACACTCTAGGAATAGAAGGAAACTACCTAAACACAATAAAGCCCACATATAAAAATCTCACAGGTAACATCATACTCAATAGAGAAAGACTGAAAGAAAGTTTTTCTCAAGGATGCCAGCTTTTTGCTACTACTATTCAATATGGCATTGGAATTTCTAGGCAGAGGAACTAGTGAAAAAAGACTTTGAACTTGGAAAGGAAGGAATGAAATTATCTCTGTTCACAAAGTGCATGATCTTATATGCAGAAAACACTTAGAATTAATCAAATTCAACAAAGTTTAAGGATACAAAACCAACACACAAAATCAGTTGCCTTTGTAAACACTAACAATGAACAAAGAAATTTAAGATAATTCCATTTACAATAGCATTAAAAATAACAAAATACTTGGCAGTTAATTAAGGAGGAAGACATACTGAAAACTACAGAATACCACAGAAAGAAAGTAACAACAATAAATGGAAAGCCATTCCATGTTCATGGACTGGAAGAAAGAAATCAGCACTACCCAAAGTGATCTACAGATTCAATGTAATCCATTTCAAAATCTTAAAAATATGTTTTACAGAAATAGAAAAATATGCCCTAAAATTCAGTGGGATGTCTAGGGACCCCAAATGGCCAAACACTCTTGAAAAATATCTAATTAAAATATACTAAATGGAATAAATAATAGGCTATGGGAAGCAGAAAAATGAATCAGAGACCTGGAGGACAGAGGAATGGAAAGTAATCAAGCTGAGCATGTGAGAGGGAAAAAAATATGCAAAGTGAGAATAGACTTAGGATACTCAGTAACACCACATTTGCATTATAGGGATCCCAGAAGGAGATGAGAGAGGAGTAGAAAATTTATTTGAAAAAATAACTGAAAACTTCCCAAATCTGGGAAAGGAAACAAATACAGATCCAGGAGGTCCAGAGATCCCATCAACAGCTTCAACCCAAGGAGGTCCACACAAAGACACATAATAATTAAGATGGCAAAAAGTAATAATAGAGAATTTTAAAAGCACCGAGGAGAAAAGAAAGCAATTAAATACAAGGGAAACCCCATAGACAGTTAGCTGATTTTTCACAGAAACATTCCAGGCCAGAAGGGAGTGGCATGACATATTCAAAGTGCTGAAAGGAAAAAATCTACCGCCAAGAATACTCTATCCAGCCAGCCTACCATTCAGAACTGAAGGAGAGAGAGAGTTTTCTAGACAAAGAAAAGATAAGCACCAAACCAGACCTACAAGAAATGTTAAAAAGGACTCCTTGAGTGGAAAGAAAAGACCGTAAGTGAGAGTATCAAAAGTAGGAAACACAAGGAGAGTAAAAGTAAGTATATCGGTAAAAATAAAAGGATGTAAAGTATGACAATATATACCTAAAATATGGGGGTGGAGGGAGGAGTAAAGATTGGATTCAAACTAAAGTGACCAGAAACTTAATATAAACTAATATATACAGAAGATGTTACGTACAAACCTAATGGTATCCACGAATCAAAAACGAGTAGTAGATATGCAAAAAATAAGGAGAAAGGAATCCAAGGGTATCACTAAAGAAAGCCAACTAATCATGACAGAAGAGAGCAAGGGAAGAAAGGCACAGAGAAGATCTACAAAAACAACCATAAATCAAGTAACAAAATGCCAATAAATACATAAGTATCAATAATTATTTTGAATGTAAATAGACTAAATGCTCCAATCAAAAGACACAGGGTGACAGAATGGATAAAAACACAAGTCCCATCTATATGCTGCCTACCAAAGACTCATTTCAGACTGAAAGACACATGCAGATTTAAAGTGATAGGATATGGGGCACCTGGGTGGCTCAGTCAGTTAAGCATCTGCCTTGAGCTCAGGTCATGATCCCAGGGTCCTGGGGTTGAGTCTGGCTTCAGGCTCTTTGCTCAGCGGGGAGTTTGCTTCTCCCTCTGCCTTCCGCTTCCCTGCTTGTGATCTCGTTTTCTCTTGCTCTCTCTGACAAATAAATAAATAAAATCTTTCAAAAATAAATAATAAGGTTGTGCAATAGAGACGTATTTATTATGAAACCGGATGTGTAAAGAAAGCCAGGATAGCAATACAAAACACAAAATAGACTTTAAAACAAAGACTGTAACAAGAGAAAAAAAGGACACTATATAATCATAAAATGGAAAAGCCCAAGAAGAATATATAAAAATCATAAATATTTATGCACCCAACACTGGAGCACTTAATAACAAACATAGAGGAACTAATAAATGGTAATACAATAATAGTACAATAATAATAATATTTTAACACCCAAGTTACATTAATGGGCAGATCAAACAGAAAATCAATAAGGAAAGAGTAGCTTTGAATGACACACTGGACCAGATAGATATAACAGAAATATTCAGAACATTCCATCCTAAAGCAACAGAATGCACATTCTTTTCAAGTGTACTTGGAACATTCTAAGTTGGAAGGCTCACACTACCGGATCTCAAAATTAACTGCAGAGCTACAGTAATCAAAACAGTATGCTACTGATGTAAGGACAGACACAAGGACCAGTGAAATAAAATAAAGAATCAAATAAATACTCACATATATGGTCAAATGATTTTGAGAGAGTGTGTCAAGACCATTTACTGGGAAAAGAACAGTTTTTCCAACAAACGGTGTTGGGAAAACTGGATATTCACATGCAAAAGAAAGAAGTTAGATGCTTACCTAACACTATATACAAAAACTTAACTGAAAATGGATCAAAGAGACTTATGGGAAAATGGTGGAACAGGAGGATCTTAAGCTCACTTTGTCCCATACACACCATATCAGTGCACCTAACCCAGGAAAACTACCCAGAGACTGCCACAACAGATTCCAGGGTTAACCACAGAGAGGAGGTCATATTAAAAAGGGTAAATATGGCCAGAAACCAAACTCCCAGTGAGACCAACCACAAACAGGAGGGACACAACAAACATGGAGAAGGGAGAGGTGCAGGCCCCACACCAGGCAACCCAGGCACAGGGTACCTGAACCGGGAAGATGAGTCTCCAAAATATTTGGCTTTGAAAACCAGTTGGGTTTAACATCACAAGTTTTACAATCAGCAATCCAGGTACTTCAAAGTCAGCAGGTTTAGCTCTGGGAGAGCCTGAGAACAATAGAAGCAGTCCATGCCCTTAAAGAGACAGCAAAGCAAATAACCCCAACAAGATACAACACAGAAGCAGCACTTAGAAAAGCACCTGGGGTATACATGAAGATTTATTTACTAATCTCAGAATATGTGCTGGAGGGGCACAGATCTTCTGCAAGAAAAAAGGAGCTGGGAGGCAGGATTTCTTCCCACCAACCTCAGCCTAGATCACTGGATACTTGCAGAGACCAGTGAGAACACTGTCCACCTACCTTAATAACATGATGTGCCCTGGTCTTATGTTCTGTAGATCCACCCCATCCAACCCACCCCACTGGGCAGGCATCCCTCCCACAGCAAAATCCAGCAAGCTGCCCCAGCAGGGACCAGTGCCACTCCACAGTGACACCTGCCCTGGAGAAGGAAAGATCATCACAGATACCAGGTACACTGCAGCCCCAGCAGACAGACTGGGGAGAGGCATCTGGTCTTACCCCAGCCCCACCACAAAAAAAAATGAAATTGTGCCATTTGCAATGGTGTGGATGGAACTAGAGGGTATTACGCTAAGTGAAGTAAGTCAATCAGAGAAAGACAAGTATCATATGATCTCACTGATATGAGGAATTTAGAAATAAGACAGAGGATCATAGGGGAAGGAAGGGAAAAATGAAACAAGATGAAACCAGAGGGGGAGACAAACCATGAGAGACTCTTAATCTCAGGAACAAACTGAGGATTGCTGGAGTGGACGGGGGTGAGAGGGATGGGGTAGTTGGGTGATGGACATTGGGGAGTGTATGTGCTATGGTGAGTGCTGTATTATGTAAGACTGATGAAACACAGACCTGTACCCCAGAAACAAATAATTCATTACATGTTAATAAAAAAATTAAAAAATAAAACGTTGAACACTACTTCAAAAACCAATGATATGTCGGCTAATTTAACATTAAAAAAAAAACAGTTTGGTAGAATTCACCTGTGAAACTAGGTTTTGATCCCTGTGCTGTTAAGTGTGGTGCCACTGTTGGTTCGTACTTGGGTGGCATCAGTTGTCAGACGATATACCTGGCCTCAGCCTGTCTGCTGGGTGTGTAGTTGCACCAAACTGGATGGCCCTCTCTTTAGGCTGCCCCCCCTGAGAGGTTTTTTTTTGTGGTGGGGCTGGGGTAAGACCAGATGCCTCTCCCCAGTCTGTCTGCTGGGGCTGCAGTGTACCTGGTACCTGTGATGATCTTTCCTTCTCCAGGGCAGGTGTCACTGTGGAGTGGCACTGGTCCCTGCTGGGGCAGCTTGCTGGATTTTGCTGTGGGAGGGATGCCTGCCCAGTCAGCTGACTGGACTGAAAGCAAATGTGGTTCAGCCACGTTAGACACACAACCCACATACCAGACACCCCTGAAATGCCTGTTCTGGGGAACAGGACACTGCACTACAGGGCACCACTCGGGGGGGCAGCCTAAAGAGAGGGCCATCCAGTTTGGTGCAACTACACACCCAGCAGACAGGCTGAGGCCAGGTATATCGTCTGACAACTGATGCCACCCAAGTACGAACCAACAGTGGCACCACACTTAACAGCACAGGGATCAAAACCTAGTTTCACAGGTGAATTCTACCAAACTGTTTTTTTTTTAATGTTAAATTAGCCGACATATCATTGGTTTTTGAAGTAGTGTTCAACGTTTTATTTTTTAATTTTTTTATTAACATGTAATGAATTATTTGTTTCTGGGGTACAGGTCTGTGTTTCATCAGTCTTACATAATACAGCACTCACCATAGCACATACACTCCCCAATGTCCATCACCCAACTACCCCATCCCTCTCACCCCCGTCCACTCCAGCAATCCTCAGTTTGTTCCTGAGATTAAGAGTCTCTCATGGTTTGTCTCCCCCTCTGGTTTCATCTTGTTTCATTTTTCCCTTCCTTCCCCTATGATCCTCTGTCTTATTTCTAAATTCATTATGGCTGCATAATATTCCATTATATATATATATATATATATATGACATCTTCTTTATCCATTCATCTGTTGATGGACATTTAGACTTTTTCCATAGTTTGGCTATTGTGGACAGGGCTGCTATACACATTGGGGTGCATGTGCCCCTTCAGATCACTACATTTGTATCTTTGTGGTAGTGCAATTGCTGGGTGGTAGGGTAGCTCTATTTTCAACTTTTTGAGGAAACTCCATTCTGTTTCCCAGAGTGGCTGTCCCAGCATGCATTCCCACCAACAGTGTAGGAGGGTTCCCCTTTCTCCACATCCTCGCCAACATCTGTCGTTTCCTGACTTGTTAATTTTAGCTATTATGACTGCTATGAGGTGGTATCTCATTGAGGTTTTTATTTCTATTTCCCTGATGCCGTGTGATATTGAGCACTTTTTCATGTGTCCGTTCGCCATTTGGATGTCTTCTTTGCAGAAATGTCTGTTCATGTCTTCTGCCCATTTCTTAATTGGATTATTTGTTCTTTGGGTGTTGAGTTTGGTAAGTTCTTTATAGATTTTGTATACTAGTCCTTTATCTGATATGTCATTTGCAAATATCTTCTCCCATTCTGTTGGTTGTCTTTGGTTTTGTTGACTGTTTCCTTTACTGAGCAAAGGTTTTTTATCTTGATAAAGTCCCAATAGTTCATTTTTACCCTCTTTCCCTTGCCTTTGGTGATGTTTCTGAGAAGTTGCTGCGGCTGAGGTTGAAGAGGTTGCTGCCTGTGTTCACCCCTAGGATTTGATGGATTCCTATCTCACATTTAGGTCTTTCATCCGTTTTCAGTTTATTTTTGTATGTGGTTTAAGGAAATGATCCAGTTTCATTCTTCTGCATGTGGCTGTCCAATTTTCCCAACACCATTTTTTGAAGAGACTGTCTTTTTTCCATTGGATATTCTTTCTTGCTTTGTCGAAGATTAGTTAACCATAGCGTGGAGGGTCCATTTCTGGGCTCTCTATTCTGTTCCATTGATCTGTGTGTCTGTTTTTGTGTCAGCACCATACTGTCTTGATGATTACAACTTTGTAATAGAGTCCGGAATTGTGATGCCACCGGCTTTGCTTTTCTTTTCAAACATCCCTCTGTCTATTTGGGGTCTTTTCTGGTTCCATACAAATTTTAGGATTATTTGTTCCATTTCTTTGAAAAAAGTGGATGGCATTTTGATAGGGATTGCATTGAATGTGTAGATTGCTCTAGGTAGCATTGACATCTTCACAATGTTTGTTCTTCCAATCCATGAGTATGGAATGTTTTTCCATTTCTTTGTGTCTTCCTCAATTTCTTTTATGAGTATTCTATAGTTTTCTGAGTACGGATGCTTTGCCTCCTTAGTTAAATTTATTCCTAGGTATCTTATGGTTTTGGGTGCAGTTGTAAATGGGTTCGACTCCTTAATTTCTCTTTTTTCTGTCTTGTTATTGGTGTATAGGAATGTCACTGATTTCTATGCATTGATATTATATCCTGCCACTTTGCTGAATTCCTGTATGAGTTCTAGCAGTTTTGGGGTGGAGTCTTTTGGGTTTTCCATCTAAAGTATCATATCATCTGCAAAGAGTGAGAGTTTGACTTCTTCTTTGCCGATTCGGATGTCTTGTATTTCTTTTCGTTGTCTGACTGCTGAGGCTGGGACTTCTAATACTATGTTGAATAGCAGTGGTGAGAGTGGACATCCCTGCCGCGTTCCTGACCTTAGGGGAAAAGCTCTCAGTTTTCCCCCATTGAGTATGATATTTGCTGTGGGTTTTTCATAGATGGCTTTTATGATATTGAGGTATGTACCCTCTATCCCAACACTGTGAAGAGTTTTAATCAGGAAAGGATATTGTACTTTGTCAAATGCTTTTTCTGCATCTATTGAGAGGATCATATGGTTTTTGTCCTTCCTTTTATTAATGTATTGTACCACATTGATTGATTTTCAGATGTTGAACCAACCTTGCAGCCCAGGAATAAATCCCACTTGGTCATGGTGAACAATTCTTTTAATGTACTGTTGGTTCCTACTGGCTAGTATTTTGGTGAGAATTTTTGCATCCATGTTCACCAGGGATATTGGTAATTCTCATTTTTGGTGGGATCTTTGTCTCGTTTGGAATCAAGGTAATGCTGGCCTCATAAAATGAGTTTGGAAGTTTTCCTTCCATGTCTATTTATTAGAACAGTTTCAGAAGAATAGGTATTAATTCTTTAAATGTTTGGTAGAATTCCCCTGGGAAGCCACCTGGCCCTGGGCTGTTGTTTGTTGGGAGAGTTTTGATTACTGCTTCAATTTCCTTACTGGTTATGGGTCTGTTCTGGTTTTCTATTTCTTCCTGGTTCAGTTTTGGTAGTTTAAATGTGTCTAGGAATGCATCCATTTCTTCCAGATTGTCTAAATTGCTGGCATATAATTGCTCATAATATGTTCTTATAATTGTTTGTATTTCTTTGGTGTTGGTTGTGATCTCTCTCTCTCATTCATGATTTTATTTATTTGGGTCCCTTCTCTTTTCTTTTTGATAAGTCTGGCCAGGGCTTTATCAATATTATTAATTTTTTCAAAGAACCAGCTCCTAGTTTTGTTGATCTGTTCTACTGTTCTTTGGGTTTCTATTTCATTGATTTCTGTTCTGATCTTTATGATTTCTCTTCTCCTTCTGGGTTTAGGCTTTATTTGCTGTTCTTTCTCCAGCTCCTTTAGGTGTAGGGTTAGGTTGTGTATTTCTTGGTTCTTGAGAAAGGCTTGTATTGCTATATACTTTCCTCTGGAGACCGCCTTTGCTATATCTCAGATTTTGAACAGTTGTGTTTTCATTTTCATTGGTTTCCATGAATTTTTTTAATTCTTCTTTAATTTCCTGGTTGACCCCTTCATTCTTTAGTAGGATGCTCTTTAGCCTCCATGTATTTGGGTTCTTTCCAACTTTCCTCTTGTGATTGAGTTCTAGTTTCAAAGTATTGTGGTCCAAAAATATGCAGGGAATGATCCCAATCTTTTGGTACCCGTTGAGACCTGATTTGTGACCTAGGATGTGATCCATTCTGGAGAATGTTCCATGGGGACTAGAGAAGAATGTGTATTCTGTTGCTTTGGGATGGAATGTTCTGAGTATATCTGTGAAGTCCATCTGACCCAGTATGTCATTTAAAGCCATTATTTCCTTGTTGATCTTTTGCTTAGATGATCTGTCCAATTCAGTGAGGGGGGTGTTAAAGTCCCCTACTATTATTGTATTATTGTTGATGTGTTTTGTTGATTTTGTTATTAATTGACTTATAAAATTGGCTGCTCCCATGTTAGGGGCATAGATATTTAAAATTGTTAGATCTTCTTGTTGGATTGACCCTTTAAGTGTCCTTCCTCAACTCTTATTATAGTCTTTGGTTTAAAATCTAATTTGTTTGATATAAGGATTGCCACCTCAGCTTTCTTTTGATCTCCATTAGCATGGTAAATGGTTTTCCACCCTCCAACTTTCCATCTGGAGGAGTCTTTGTGTCTAACATGTGTCTCTTGCAGACAGCATATCAATGGGTCTTGTTTTTTAATCCAATCTGATAGCTTGTGTCTTTTGATTGGGGCATTTAGCCCATTTACATTCAAGGTAACTATTGAAAGATATAAACTTAGTGCCATTGTATTGCCTGTAAGGTGACTGTTATTATATATTGTCTCTGTTCCTTTCTGGTCTGTGTTACTTTAAGGCTCTCTCTTTGCTTAGAGGACCCCTTTGAATATTTCCTGTAAGGCTGGTTTGGTGTTTGCAAATTCTTTTAGTTTTTGTTTGTCCTGGAAGCTTTTTATCTCTCCTTCTATTTTCAATAACCACCAAGCTGGATAAAGTATTCTTGGCTACATATTTTTCTCATTTAGTGCTCTGAATATATCATGTCAGTCCTTTCTGGCCTGCCAGGTCTCTGTGGATAGATCTGCTGCCAATCTAATGTTTCTACTGTTGTAGGTTACAGAACTCTTGTCCCGAGCTGCTTTCAGGATTTTCTTTTTGTCTCTGAGACTTTTAAGGTTCCTATTATTTCTCGGGGTGTTGACCTGTTTTAATTGACTTTGAGACGGGTTCTCTGTGCCTCCTCATTTTGATGCCTGTTTCCTTCCCCAAATTAGGGAAGTTCTCCACTATAATTTGCTACAATATACCTTCTGCCCCTCTCTTACTTCTTCTCCTAGGATCCCAATTATTCTAATATTGTTTTGTCTCATGGTATCACTTATCTCTCAAATTCTCCCCTCATGATCCATTAGTTGTTTAGCTCTTTTTTTTTCAGCTTCTTTATTCTCCATCATTTGGTCTTCTATATCACTAATTCTTTCTTCTATCTCATTATCCTAGCAGT